CTGATTATATATATATATATATATATCTGATATATCTGATATATCTGATATATCAGACCAAAAACGCACACGTTGTGCACAATAAGCTTATGTTGGATGTCTCAGTGGGATATTCCTTGAACTATGTGAAAATAAACTTTTAACCTGCAAGTGTGTTCTGTATGACTATTTAGGCGATTTCCAAAGTCGCCGGGACAAACATTTCCGCAACCGAAAACCTAATTTCTTCTCGTGCCACGCATTGAGATATTTGCTAAACTCTATGTGGTGCGTTCATCAATTGCACAAAGTGACACTCAGAATTTAGTCTGCGGAAAATCGCTCAAAAACCGGAAACCATTTCCCCAACGCACATTTCACTGTCAGATGTTATTGGTCAAATGGAAAATCCAAATAGCTTTACAGCATATTAGGAGAACCAGCTCCGAAAGTAATGAGATTATATCACAGCCAACGGAATAACAGTTATCTTTGAGACAAATGTCATGTCACTCGTCCTTGACAGACGATTTGTGTGCTTAGTATCACTTTTGACCTTCTGTACACGACAACGGTGAATAGATCACCCAGTGTGCACTTTTATTGACTTTTTGTGGTTTAGCCGAGCGCACCAGGCTATCAATCGGCTCTTCAGACCGGTGCTTGCGGTAATTGAAATGCACCAAAGAGACTGTGACCCACAATACAATGCAAGAAAAACCGTTTAGAAATTTTTCGCCGAAGGGGGTGCGGTACACTGGAAATTGCATTTTGGATGACTATACTGAATGCACTCGCTGCTTGGGTGATACTTCTTCGGATAATGCTTCATGGTTTCGCTATCGACATGCCGTGAAAACAGATCCCGGAACTTCCTCTACCAGCAGATTTAACGAGCTGATACTCTTGCAGATTTGCCATCGCTACACGGCATGCAGTGTAATGGTCTCAGCTGCATTCGTTGTTTCGTGAAAAACATTGCTTGACATCTTCGCTCAAAATCTGTCCCATCTTAAATACCTGTTTCAAAATGTGCCCCAGCAATACGTGCTGATCAAAATCACTGTATCATACTAATCATGTTTCCTTGTGCAGCTTTCCTGTATCTTAGTGAGTGCCTCTTACACATTTTTGAATCCTTAAAATATTGTCGATTTTCATCTGTTTGGCGTGCTTTTCTTGAGATGTTACCGAATGCATAGCTACAAGTACACAAATGGCGAATACAGTGACCTACAAAGCTTGGTCCCTGTGCATCTGTCGCGCTCTAACTGGGAACGTCTTTGGTTATTCGTCATCGTGACAAGTTGCCCTTGGATTTGATTCGATCATGTTAAGCTTCATTTCCAAATTCGGCTGCTGATTTTTTGGCTAAGTGCTGTGAACATTGCCATCAAAGATAACACCTTTGATATTTACCAAAGTGATCGCATGATGAACACCGTTAAGATGCTTGCAAGATACACTGACATAAATTTCATGATGAGACCAACCAGGGGACAGTCGAAAACCGAGAAAAATTCAACAGACTAACCATGTGGTGTGCCTCACATCATTGGGCCCCACATTGTATGATATTTGGCTAGACTGTTCAGGTAGTAACTTGGTTCCGAAAACGTTGATGAATTTTACAAATAACGGGTTTTCAACCGCGTATTCTCTTCTTGACCTGTATACAATTTCATTCACATTATGCCGATTTGTGCCACTTGGTGCCACACGGTGTTTTTGTGTAGTGCTACAAGTTACCGGCCAGTGACAAAGTTGCCCTTCGGATGTAGTAGAAAAACGTTGTTCAAGCCAAAACCTGTACCTCAGGTATGCCGGCAAGCAAACTTAAAGTTATCAAATACACAGTGCATTTAGTCCCAATTGGCCGCACTAAAGTACCGAAATAGTAACCTAATAATTGAGTGCATTATGAAAATCGATCGGAAAATTTTGAAGAAAACAAATCACTAAATTGTCGGAAAACTTCATCTCTGAATTCAATTTGTTTATTCTAGGGAGCAGTCAGAGTAAGATTTATAAATTGTGTAACTGCTTCATAATTATTTTTTATTGTTCTCGCAAACACATAAGCATGACGCAACTCACAAAACCTTGCAATCTACAATATTTTTTTTCGGGGCCGAAGGTGCCCTGTAAGAAGGCACTTACTTTTACAAACTTTGTAACAGAGATTCCAGCTTCAACAAACAGTGATCGCTCAAGAGGGATAAAGTGCTACAATTGGAATAACAGAACCAGCATATCCTTCCGACCGCGATTTTGGTAATAAAAGTCATTTGGTCGCAAGACAGAGGGACTGGTACATGATAATAATTTTGAAAGAAATTTGAGGTCTGGATTTTGTCCAGATCACTGCTTGCTTCGGTGTAATGATCAGTAATTTCA